GACCCAGCATGAGAAACAAGGTTATTGTAACCAGAGCTGATAAGGATTTGGCAGGCTGGAGAATGGGAGGGGAAGTTTGTGCTTCAAGCTAATTGGGGAATGTGATTTATGACTGCTAATTGGAGGAGGGAATTGTGCTTAGATACTATGTGTTCAGGGGTGGGGAATTTAGTTTTTGGCTTTGATTATGCAATGCCGATGCTATGCTACTCAAAATAAAGATTCTTTGAGGTATACAATGCCTCGAAGTTCTTTGAAGAGTTTCATCTGTAGGAACCATGACAAAAAGATGGTGGAATCAATGGAACTGGCAGAGATGGCAAAAATTGGTTTTATCATGGTGAGCAATGTGGCCCCTTTACGACCTGTGGACTTCAACTCCCAGAATTCCTGAGCCAGCCAGGAAATTCTGGCTCAGGAATTCTGGGAGTTGAAGTCCACAGGTCGTAAAGGAGCTATAGTTGACCCACCCCTGGATTAGAGAAAAGATTCATTTTAATGCTGATTGGAATCCCCTTTTGGACTTTCTGCGTGAAACGGAAAAAAATGAAATTACGAAATATGCATTCGATGATTAGATAGAATAGAAAACAAAAATGAAAGCTATGTTGTAAATTTAGATTAAGAGGTTCATGGAAGCTGATACTTATGTGTTGTGGGGAAAAAGTTGGATTTTTTGTGTGTGTATATTTCTGTTTAGTTGTGCACTTTTGGCTTTGTAACCTCTTTCGTTCTTTGCTTCCCCCCCTTTCTATCTTAATTATTGGTTCCTGTTAACTTTTATCTCGCTCGTTTAAAACAGGGGTCTTCAAACATGGCCCTTTTATGACTTGTGGACTTCAACTCCCAGACTTCTTCAGTGCCTGGCTGAGGAATTCTGGGAGTTGAAGTCCACAAGTCATAAAGGGGCAAAGTTTGAAGACTCCTGGTTTAAAAGATCTAATAAAGTTGTTTAAGAAAAAGAAACCTGCAAGCGACAGATCAAACAGGAAACAATTCTTCCTATCCCAGTGGCTGTCAGACTGTTTCTTTCTCACCCCTGCTCTGTATTGGTCCTTTTTTTTTTTTTTATAAGGGTGGGAATTAAAAATAGGTTTTTGAGTTCACAAGAGCATTTATAGCCTGTGAAGACTGTTGTCCAAACAAAAAGAATTGGACAAGAATGGGAAGAAAATGAAGAATAGGGAAATTTGCAGGAACAAATTGTAGACAATGGGGAATCTGTCTAATGCAGGGGTAGGCAACCTTGGCTCTTTTATGACTCGTGGACTTCAACTCCCAGAATTCCTGAGCCAGCTAAGCCAGCTAAGAATTCCTTAGCTGGCTCAGGAATTCTTAGCTGGCTTAGCTGGCTCAGGAATTCTGGGAATTGAAGTCCACGAGTCATAAAAGAGCCAAGGTTGACTACCCCTGGTCTAATGCAGTGTTTTTCAACCTTGGGCACTTTTAATAAGTGCAGACTTCAAGTCCCAGAATTCCCCAGTCAGCATGCTTCAAGAAATGTGGATTTCAACTCCCAGAGTTCCAGGCAGCATGCTTTAAGATACGTGGACTTCAACTCCCAGCATGCTTCAAGACATATGGACTTCAGCTCCCAGAATTCCATGTACAGTAGTATCGCTTCAAGAGTTCTGGGAGTTGAAGTCCACACATCTTCAAGTTGCCAAGGTTGAAAAACACTGATCTAATTGTTTGAAGAGCATGGCTTCTA